TATTTCGGTGCCTAAAAATGCAAGAAAGCAAGTTGGCATAAGCAAGTTTGGTGGCTGACTTGGACATTTTTGTAAATCCCAACATGAATCCATGTGTCTTTATAAATCTGTCCCTTGATGATGGATCTCTCTTTTTCCAGGGATAAGACTGACGGCAGAGCTAAGCACACACTATTGCTGTGTGTACCTCGTGTTCTGCATGAGAAGAGTAATAATTTGTTTGATCTGTATAAGTATTCCAGCATCAAAACCGTCAGTGTTTTTTTGCAGCACTAAAGGATCAGAAAGCATCACTGAGAGATGGGCAGCATGCTTGTCAGGTGTATTATGAGTATCAGTATGGACAGCCATTTGTTATAAAGAGAAAGCATTTTTTTCCCTGTGTGTCCTGTGGTAAACGGAGGAAAATGCTGCAAATCAACCACAACATGGTTTAATAGGCATCCCTGCTGGTTTAAAAGCTAAAGAATATACATTGTTAAGCCTGCATACATCTATACCTGCTTGTACGTAGGAGGAGACCATGTGTGACCATGCTAAAATGGCACCCTGAATGTATTCCCCTGCTCCAACCAGTGCCGTAGCAAGGGGTGGCCAAGTGGGGTGACAGCCCTGAGTACTGAAGCAAAGGACGCCCAGCTGGGAGGGGGGTGTGGATGCGGACCAGAGCCACAAGTGGATCATTTGGGGGGGCCCCGGAAGAGGGGAAGGGCGGCTCCCACCACTGCATGGACTCCCAGGCAAGCCTGGGGAGGCGTGTGCCCCCTCGGATCTGTGCACGGGGTGGGGGTGGGCTGCCACAGCAGGCTTTGTTCTGGGCGCCAAACTTTGTTCCTCCAGTCCTGGCTTCAACGGACTATTTCTACGCAATCATTGGTGACGTGTCGCTCTGTATTGAAAATGCTGTTTCAGGAACACCAAACAAGAAGCCAAGGGCTCACTGGAGGAAGACATTAAGGAACCAAAGCAGCGTCTTCCTCTCCCCGAACAAATCTTCCCCATCTGTGCAAGTACTGTTATCTCTGCCGTCCTCAGCAGAAAAGGGAAATCACACTCTCAACAAGAGCATTTCCATACCGATGCTTGAAGGATGCTAAACTTCCAAGGATCCAAATGGGCGTGCACAGCTTCTTGGGCATACTCCTCCCTCCTCCACTCCCACACGCTCACCCGCGCACATGCGCTGTGACAATCGTACGGACGGAGCAGCCGACAACCAGCCTGTAAATTGGTATTCCAGAAGGCAAGCAATGTGCTGCTAGCCCATTTCACTACCCTGTGCAAGGAGCTCTGTTCCCCCAGAGACCGAAAATTCAGTATGAAAGGCCAATTGTCAGTGGAACATTACCGGTTCCATAGTGTGCTACAGACAATTTGTGGAACAGCGTGTTTGTTTTTCATCGTCATATAATGAACTTGGCCACTGCTGACAAGACAAAACAAGGATTATTAGCTCTTACTTATTTTGATTTAGAAAAATGTTTGTCATTCAGTCAACAGCCTCCTCTCCCAAGCTCTGGGTGCTTCCAATTTACATCCTCATTAAAAAAAAATCATACATCTACTGGGCTCGTGGATTGCACACCCCTCGGGAATGAATAAAATCAGCACGTGTCTTACAGTAAAAGGCCCAGATCCTGCAGCCTGCCTGCCTAGAGCTTGTTGCCAGATCGGCTCTGCATACAGTGAATGAAGGTTCAAAAAGGGCAAATAATTTATTCTTAACATTTTTTGATGGACCTGGATTTTGTTTACATTTTTTAGAGATGCTTCAAAGAAAGCCTTTTGCGGTGGCATTATCCCAACATATGCATTTGACCCCAGGACTGAATATAGACATTTCTAGTCGTGATAAATCCACTGAGTGTCCCCAGTCAGGAATTCAGGGCACAATTCTGAGTTCACCTCCAAGCTGACACAAACAGAGCAATAGAAATCTTTTGGGATCCATGTGCACCAGAAAAAAATCCATTAGTGATTTTCATTTGGACCTATGAGACACACAATGACCCCGTAATTACTGGCTGCACTCTCCAGTGGCTTCTCATCAGCTGCAGATGGTTACTCAGAGTCCATAACCTTTGCTTTTGGCTTTACCTCTGCAGCAACTGTTACTCTACAGTCAATGCCCAGATTTTTGATCACTTTGCATTTCAAAAAAGACAAATGCAGCTGCAGTCACAGCAAGTTGAGCCTCTCTCTTCCTTGTTTCTTCAGTCACTCTTTTTTTTTTTCCTGGCAACCAAAATCTGACTACGCAAAGCAACTTCTAACCAATTAGACGTCTCCCCTGGGCTCTGCACAGAAGTTTACGCTATTTCCAGTTCTACCACATACAGACTATTGCATTTGCTCCAAGCCACCTTGGGTAGGGATCTAATTACTTCTGCTACTGGATCCGTGTGACATCCCATGGCAGCTGACGCCAGTCTCAGGCTAGAAGTAAGTGCCTTGGCTCACAAGTGGGGCTGTGGCAGTAAGGGAAGCAAAGCTAAAGCATCTAGAAAAGGGGTGGACCGTTATTTCAGCTGAGGGGGGTGCTTAACGAGTTTTGGTGAGCTGTTGAGGACTGCAAGGGTAGCCCCGCCCCTTGACACGTGCCACACTCCCTGATTGCCACCTTGGGACTGGAAGACCTGACCTCTGACCTGACCTTTGCCACCGGAAGTCCCTTACCCCTGGAAGTATTCCTTTTGGGAGGGGAGGGTCGGACCTGGAAAAAACCCAAATCATATACAGAAAGTCAAATGCCACCACATGGGGCAAGGAGCATGGCCAGCCCAGCCCCCACCTCTATCACGTGGGGCTCCCCGTGGCACATGTGCAGCTCCCAGCACTTATGCACCACCGGAGGAAGCTCAACGTGATGGCCCCAGCTACATTCCCCGCCCCCTGCTGTGCGGGTCCTGGGACTCCACCAGAAGTGGAGGGGAGCCCCGCCCCCTACTCCCATGGTGGCGGGGAGTGGTGCAGGTAGCCAGCTTTATTGCAAGGGGTTTCCCCCCCTGGTAGTGTGTGAGTGCCAGGAGCTGCACATGTGCCACGGGGAGCCTCACATGGTAGAGGTGGGCAGGCCTGGCTGTGCTCCTTGCCACCACGTGCAACTCTGGCTGGAGCCCCATCCTGCTGGGTGGCAGCATCTGCATGGGCCACGAGTGGCTGGAGTGCTTTCCGCCTACTGCTGCCACTGCAGTGCACCATGGCAGGAGTGTGTGGGGGTCCCCACCCCCCCACCTTTTCTCACACCCTCACCCTGCCCACCCGAGCTCCACGCTACCCAGCTGCAGCCCCGCCTTCCCCTGCCGCTTCCCTTCCTGCTGCCTGGAGCAGGCACTGCAGTAGGGAGATGAGAAACAACCACTGGATGCCAGGGAAGCTGAGCAGGTCCCTGAGCAGCTGCAGCAGTAACAGCAGCAGCTGCACCCAGAACCTGCATGCTAGCTGGGCTAGGCCCTTCCATGAATGAGCATGGGGGTGAGGCATGCAAGCCAGGCAGGGTACAATTAGTTGTGGGTGTCTGCGGGCCAGATGAAATTGCCTAGTGGGCTGGATCCAACCCATAGGCTATATTTTGCTCACCCCTGATCTGGAGGATTGCTGAATAGAAAAACCTCTTGCACATTGGTGCTCCTATGGAACTGGCATCTCCTGGTGATAGCTTCGCCATTGCCTAAACTCTTCTTGACCTGAATGCCCCTCACTGTATTAGATATGCCCCTGAAGGCCAGAAGTTGCAAAACATACTTCCTACACCCCTTTCAGATAGAAAAGGAGTGTTAGGGTATCTCTTTATGGCTCCAGAGATAGGAATTTGAACCTTGCTCAAGACTCTTGCCAAAGGCTGGCTCCAGATGACCCAACTGTAAGTGGCACCTGATCATTCAATCAAAGGTAGACAGATGTGATCCCAGGTGTGTATTGTTGGCTATTGAAATTGGTGTTTCTTAGATGCACTAAACGTATAAGGTTTTCCTACTAAAGAGGATGCCTTAAGCCTAAGTAAGTTCCAATGAAAATATAAAATATCCCATACTGCAACAGTTAATTGAAATAGAGTATATGTAGACGAGGTTGCTAGTTGTAAGCCATTGGCAAGCTTTGCTTCTTTGATAGTGGGGTTGTTTTGTGTGGTGTTCTGCTAAATTTCTGAACCTGCTAAGTGAAGCCTGACAACATCTGAAAGTTCATGGGCCAACACAGATCTGTCAGGAAGCAGTTTAAAAAAAAAAATCACTCGTACTCTAACTCAAAGCAGGGCCTCACAGCTACAAATAAATAGTCTCTATTGTTGCAGTGATTTTACACACAGAATTGCTCATGCATGGCATGGTGACAAGCTCTAGCTCTTTAATTACTTTAATAATAAATCATAATAACAATAATAGCTATTCTTCCTAAAACCCTTAATGCCTGGTTTGTCCTACATTTACTCACTGTTTTCTCATTTTAATAGCTCACGGCTCTGAGAATTTTGTTGCCTCTGTAACATTACTGGGAGCCACCAGATGGCACTGTTGCAAATCGTCTTGCTAATTTTAGGGGAATGTGTGTTTGGAGGCATGCCTCTTGTCAAATGTGGTGCAGTTCTGTTATGAGCAAATCACTAGGGAGGCTTGCCTGAATTTTTCTTAATACAAATTTTTTTTTATAGGTGTGTCCTTCATGTTCTAAATATGCAAAGGAATAAAAATAGTCCATGATGTCAGAAGCTCGACAAGCAGAGAAACAAAAGCATTGACCAATATTATGAATTGCCTGGGATCTAGCTGTCCCAAGTGATCAGGGGAAGTGTGACCCTTGTAGAGGTGGAAGGAGTTCAAACAGTAGACCGGTGTCTTCTAGCGTCCCCTGATGGGTCGTCAAAATATTATCACTTGCTAGTCAATGTTGGAGAGAAAGGTACCACATTAGATACTTTATAATACCAGAATAGTTATGTCAGCTGAAGAGGAAAAACAGGATAGTGCAGACTAGGAAAAGTCTGAAAAATTTATCATCCCAAAGGCAACTTCATGTTTGCATGTTGCAAATTTCATTACAAAGTATAAGGAACTATCGAACACTTCAAGGAGTTTGTGCCAGGATCAAAGTTGCTAAGTCTCCTGTATCTGTAGTTGTGGATAAAAAGATTGGGGATATATTCCCTGTGAGCTGAAAGAAAAAGGAGGGAGCTCAGCTTGTTTTAAATTGGTGGTGCCAGTACATATGCAATGGCATACAGTCTGCCAAACCTCACGTCAATTCATAAGCACATGAAGCAGCAAAATCTCACCATGCTTTCAGGCAACCACAGAGAACCCCAAACAATTTGATGCATGCAAACAAACAAAATATGGCATAAAAAAGATCTCAGCATCCGACTTATTTAAGCCATGCCCTCAGAATTTTTTATACATCAATCAGGTGCCTTAATCACCCAGGTACAAACATCACCAGGTGCTAACACACGAGACCTCCACCATCTTTTTTGTGGCGTATGAGGTAGGTTTGCCTCTTGGAACGATTATGTGTTGTTTTAAGTTTTGTGTTCTGAGAGGTTTTTTAGTGTAAATGCAGCAAAGGGAGAGAGCAGTGGGGAGTTTGCTCTTTGCTACGAACTCTGATTACAGTCAATTCTTAGGAAATGGTTGCTCTCTGGGAACTTGGTTATGAGACAAAAGTCCTGCCTGTCTTTTGACCATCTCATTACAGAACTGGTGCATGTTCATAAATAGAGTTACCCTTGGAATATTTCTAGCCCCCAATAGGAAGCCCTCCAGCAAGCCCCATAGTATTGTATTACTGCATGGTAGAGGGGCAATCGTGATGGCAGAACAGGATACCATTGTTAGAAGAGTGGATGGCATTGTTGATTTAGCTTCCCTTAAAATGTGAAGACTTATGTAATTTTTCCTGGCCACTTCCAGCACCTTCTCTAATTCAGATCAGGGAAAGAGTGGGTCCCTTCCTGAATGGGGGAGGCAACCTAGTGACAAGAGGATGCAGAAAAGGCTGAAGTGCTCAATGCCTTTTTTGCCTCAGTCTTCACAGGCAAGGTCAGCTCCCAGACTACTGCACTGGGCAGCTCAGTCTGGGGAGGAGGTGAGCAGCCCTCAGTGGTGAAAGAACAGGTTAGGGACTACTTAGAAAAGCTGGATGTGTACAAGTCCATGGGGCCAGATGGCATGTACCCAAGGGTGTTGAAGGAGTTGGCTGATGTGATTGTAGACCCATTGGCCATCATCTTTGAAAACCCATGGCAATCAAGAGAGGTCCCGGATGCTTGGAAAAAGGCAAACATAATGCCCATATTTAAGAAAGGGAAGAAGGAGGATCCAGGGAACTACAGACAAGTCAGCCTCACTTCAGTACCTGGAAAAACAGTGGAGCAGATCCTCAAGGAATCCATTTCTAAGCACTTGGAGGAGAAAAGGGTGATTAGGAACAGCCAGCATGCATTCACCAGGGGCAGGTCATGTCTGACCAACCTTATTGCCTTCTATGATGAGGTGACTGGCTCTGTGGATGTTGGGAGACCGGTGGATGTGATGTACCTTGATTTTAGCAAGACTTTTTATAGTTTCCCACAACATTCTCACAGGCAAGCTAAGGAAATAAGGGGTGGATGAATGGACTGTAAGGTGGATAGAAAACTGGCTGGATCATTGGGCTCAGAGGGTAGTAATCAATGGCTCAATGTCTAGTTGGCAGCTGGTATCGAGTTGAGTGCCCCAGGGGTCAGTCCTGGAGCTGGTTTTATTTAATATCTTCATCAATGACCTGGAAGATGGCACAGAGTGCACCCTCAGCAAGTCTGCAGATGACAAAAAGCTTGGGGAAGTAGTAGATATACTGGAGGGTAGGGCTAGGATTCAGAGTGACCTAGACAAATTGTAGGATCGGGCCAAAAAGAGTCTGATTAGGTTCAACAAGGACAAGTGCAAAGTCCTGCATTTAGGACAGAGCAATCCCATGCACCGGTGGAGGCTGGGGGTGACTGGCTGGGCAGCAGTTCCTGGGGGTACAGTGGACAGTCAGCTGAATATGAGCCAGCAGTGTGCCCTTGCTGCCAAGAAGGCTATGGCATACTGGGCAGCATTAGTAGGAGTGTTGCCAGCAGGTCAAGGGAAGTGATTATTCCCTTCTATTCAGCACTGGTGAGGCCACATCTGGAGTGCTGTGGTCTGTTTTGGGCCCCCACTACAGAAAGGATAAATTGGAGAGAGCCCCGTGGAGGGCAACAAAAATAGTGAGGGGGCTGGGGGACATGACTTATAAGGAAAGACTGAGGGAACTGGGTTTATTTAGTCTAGAGAAGAGAAGACTGAGAGGGGATTTAATAGCAGCCTTCAACTCCCTGCAGTGGGGTTGCAAAGAGCTGGGCTGTTCTCAGTGGGGGCAGATGGCAGAACAAGGAGCAATGGTCTCAAGTTGCAGCAAGGGGAGTTTAGGTTACATATTAGGAACAATTTTCTCACAGGTTACCCAGAGAGGTGGTGGAAACTTCATCCTTGGAGTTTTTCAGAGTCTTGGCTGGGATGATCTGGTTGGGGCTGGTCCTGCTTTGA